GGGGATTTGGCTCCACACTGCCTCCTATTTAACCCAAGGCTACCACTGAGCTGCTCCTTACTGACGCTGCTTTACAGATGTCCTCCGCTGTGTCCTCAACTGCCCTGAGCCTCTCCGTTGGCAACGCTCCTTCCTCTCCCCCGAGCTCGAAGATATCTACCGCCACAGCTACGCCGCTAGCACCATGCTCCTCACTACCCATTGAAGAGGTCACGATCCTATCTGCGCTCTGTGCTTCAAGTTTGTTCCGTTCTTAGGAACTGCTTGCTCTACCTGCGGAAGACTGATGCACACCGAATGCGTGGATGTTGCAAGAAAAGTGAGAAGACCGGCCAAGGAAGAACAATGCTGGAGATGCGAAGACGAGACTGAATGGGGTATTGAGAAATATTGTGAGCCTGGACGAGTTCAGTATCCCTTGGTTACAACTCTCAAAAACGCTCTAGCTCTGGGTTCTGGTCCTGCTTCTGTAGAAGATACCGTTCCAGCCACCACCCACACCCAGGTCAACGACGACGACGACGACTCACCAAATCCTCTCAACAACAGCGCTCACACTACCAGCGCTGGTCCTGTCGCTAATGCCGATACCTCTTCGGCTTTTAGTGCAACTACCAATGTCGCTCTAGCTCCAGCTTCCGTCAAAGATACTCCCTCGACCACTATGAACCTTCAAGTTGACGACTCAGTCAAGCAGGGACGGGATCGCGCCCGTATTGCAAAGAAGTCAGCCGAGGTGCGAAAGCGGGCAAAGCGCGAATATAGGAAACTCAACAAGAAGCAGAAGAAGGAGCTGAAGAAGAAGCTCGAGAGGGATCTGAAGAAGCTCATGAGAGCACGCAAGAAGCTTGAGAAGAGGGTTAAAGGCTTGGGAGGAGGCAGGAAAGCGCGCGATAATGTTTGAGTATTGCGAAGAGTGCGGACTACCGCACGAGGTAACGCAATCTTTTGAGAAGTTGAGGCGGCCATTATTTCCTTGTTTGAGACAATACGAGCACAGATCAGGAGTTGTGCGCGTATTAATACCGAGGGCTCCACTGCTTGATGCTTCCAAGTGGGGTTGTTATACAATTGCTGATGTCGAAAGAGATTTGGAGGAGGACAACACATGGAATTGGCACATGGTTGAGATAGACTGTAAATTTCTGCGGTACAAGTTTTACTAGAGACGAGTTGGAATGTTCAGCAAGATGTTGAGTCTCCTCCCTATGGCTGAGGCATCCGAAAGCACGGAGCTGGAGGTTTGGCAAGGAGATGTATAGAGCGGAAAGCGCCTCACACAAGGAGACAATGAAGAAAACTCCCGCTCTGCTCGTAGATTCCAGTTCATCTGCAAGAGCACCCCGGCGCTAATGTGCTTGCCCAGTTCAAAGTTGCACCTTCTCATGGTTTTGTTAACATGTAGGTGCTGGCTTCCAAACGTCGCCCTTTCCCCGTCACCCTTCCACACTTCATCTCACATGTCACTCGGATCTACTCCCAACACCCTTCCGCATTGGTCCCTCTGCGACAGTAACTTTCTTTCCCTCGCTCTCTTTCAAGATGTTTGGTTGATTTCCTTTTGGATCCTTCAACAGAGTACATGCTTGAATGCCAACTTTATCTTTTCAAATTTATCGCATTCCCACTTACTACCCGCCTATATCTTCCAGAGCAGATCCCTATCGAATATCACACATCCTTCAATCATACCCAAAGCACGAATGCCGCCTCACAACCCTCTGGACCAAGCAGGAATGCCGCCTCACAACCCCGGGGCCAGGAAATGATGCAGTATAACAATCCACTAAACCAAGCAACGTTTCTGCCTTTCAACGTAACAGAAGCTCCGGGACCTCATCGCTCTATCACGATCCTACCAGAAAGATTGTTTATTGCCCCCATGACACGCCGTGGAAAGAAATTCGAGATCTCAAAGCTCTCATAACCCAGTGCCGGATGCGCTCGCTCTCGGACGACGGGGACGTG